TTGCTGGTTGTGTCCCTATGTTATTGCTGGCTGTGTCCCCATTTTATTGCTGGTTGTGTCCCTATGTTATTGCTGGCTGTGTCCCCATTTTATTGCTGGTTGTGTCCCTATGTTATTGCTGGCTGTGTCCCCATTTTATTGCTGGTTGTGTCCCTATGTTATTGCTGGCTGTGTCCCCATTTTATTGCTGGTTGTGTCCCTATGTTATTGCTGGCTGTGTCCCCATTTTATTGCTGGTTGTGTCCCTATGTTATTGCTGGCTGTGTCCCCATTTTATTGCTGGTTGTGTCCCTATGTTATTGCTGGCTGTGTCCCCATTTTATTGCTGGTTGTGTCCCTATGTTATTGCTGGCTGTGTCCCCATTTTATTGCTGGTTGTGTCCCTATGTTATTGCTGGCTGTGTCCCCATTTTATTGCTGGTTGTGTCCCTATGTTATTGCTGGCTGTGTCCCCATTTTATTGCTGGTTGTGTCCCTATGTTATTGCTGGCTGTGTCCCCATTTTATTGCTGGTTGTGTCCCTATGTTATTGCTGGCTGTGTCCCCATTTTATTGCTGGTTGTGTCCCTATGTTATTGCTGGCTGTGTCCCCATTTTATTGCTGGTTGTGTCCCTATGTTATTGCTGGCTGTGTCCCCATTTTATTGCTGGTTGTGTCCCTATGTTATTGCTGGCTGTGTCCCCATTTTATTGCTGGTTGTGTCCCTATGTTATTGCTGGCTGTGTCCCCATTTTATTGCTGGTTGTGTCCCTATGTTATTGCTGGCTGTGTCCCCATTTTATTGCTGGTTGTGTCCCTATGTTATTGCTGGCTGTGTCCCCATTTTATTGCTGGTTGTGTCCCTATGTTATTGCTGGCTGTGTCCCCATTTTATTGCTGGTTGTGTCCCTATGTTATTGCTGGCTGTGTCCCCATTTTATTGCTGGTTGTGTCCCTATGTTATTGCTGGCTGTGTCCCCATTTTATTGCTGGTTGTGTCCCTATGTTATTGCTGGCTGTGTCCCCATTTTATTGCTGGTTGTGTCCCTATGTTATTGCTGGCTGTGTCCCCATTTTATTGCTGGTTGTGTCCCTATGTTATTGCTGGCTGTGTCCCCATTTTATTGCTGGTTGTGTCCCTATGTTATTGCTGGCTGTGTCCCTATTTTATTGCTGGTTGTGTACCTAGAAAAAAACTGGCTGTGTCCCCATTTGATTGCTTTGTGTCCCTATTTTATTGCTGGTTGTGTCCCTATGTTATTGCTGGCTGTGTCCCTATTTTATTGCTGGTTGTGTCCCTATGTTATTGCTGGCTGTGTCCCCATTAGGAGAAAATCGACAGAGGAAGAAAAAAAAAAGAGCAGCACACGAAGGATCGAGAGACCACAATTGTTAAAGCTGAAGTTGAATCTGCGGATATTTTGCCTTCCCCGGTTCCTTCCCCAGATAGAAGTTACATTTTATATCAATGTTTTTTTAGCTTTATTTATACTGTCTCCGCATTCACAAATACAACAGAAGTAAAGGGATCCCTGTGGCACTTTGGGTTAGCTAATGAGTCTGGCTCGGTGTGATTTGGTACATTACTTATAAGGAGAGAGTCGCTGCAAGTACTATCTGTTGTGATTTATTTTCTGGGTGTCAGTTTCAGATGTAGTCATTGAGCTTTGTTAACGACGGGATTTCTACAATAGGGTGGGAAGGAGAGACAGAGGAAAAGGGGACAAAGAGCCGAATGCGCCCCCTGCTGTTTGGATTGCTGTTTGGATTAATACAATATTTCTGATTTACCAATAAAACAGCATAATAACATTTTAGTTTTTTTAAATTAATTTGGTGGATATAATTTCTACTGTCTGTCAGGGACTCAGGTGAGATCTCTGAGACTCCTGAGTCGGCTCCCACTATCCCTGTGCTGAGTTCCCAGGTCTGTACACCTGCTGTGCCCATTATGAGCGGCTCCCACCATCCCCGTGCTCAGTTCCCGGGTGTGTACACCTGCTGGGCCCATTATGAAGGGCTCCCACCATCCCAAATGCTGAGTTCCCGGGTCTGCACACCTGCTGTGCCCATTATGAGCGGCTCCCACCATCCCCGTGCTGAGTTCCCGGGTGTGTACACCTGCTGTGCCCATTATGTGCTCGGGCTTCCAATAAAGACTACAGGTGGTCCACTGTTGTCTCCATAGCACGTCCTGCTATAGGGTGACAACGCCTTAACCCCGTCACCTAACTCGGCTCCTCGTGTCACATGGGCTGGAGGCTACAAGTGGCTGTTTCAGCACACATTACATAGATATAGTCCACTGTTGTCACCATCAGAAAACCCGCCCTGAGAGATATAGCCACCGCTGGAGCGTATGTAGACAGAAGGTGGATCAGCAGTACTAAGCCGTAACAATTGAAGAAACAAATGGGTAAACAAGAAGTTGTGATCTGATTTTAGGCTGGCAGTGCCAGCCAAACTGGGGTCCTCGAAGATGGCAGATCCTTCCAGTAGGGTGCAGGAGGCAGCACTAGATACAAGTAGTTGACAGTCCGAGGTCACTGATTGTTAACACAATACAAAAAAAGAAATGACCAATCACTCTGTAGATGGCACACGGCTGGACTTATGCCGGATAGGTGCTGCATGCAGTCTGAGCCTTGCCCAAAAAGAACTCGCAGCTCGCACCGTGGTGATCACAGGAAGGCTGAAGGCTTGTTTACAAACAAAGCTCTCCGTCCTGTAGGTGGCGCTGTAACTCTCTCTACGCTTAGGGGTCCAATGGACTTAGGGGTCTATATATATATATATATACACTTTTTTTCCCAAGATTCACACATTTGTATAACTGGATTCCATTACAAAATGTGTGAATACTAGGTGAAAGTTGTGTGGGAGTCTTGGGTGGAAATAAATAGACCCCATAGAGTTATTCTTAAGTAAACCAATGTATACAGACGCCGCTGATTTTGCTCTGGGCGTCTAGTCTTTGATGGCGTCTAGTCATGACTTCTCATGACCACACAGCTTCTACACTTCGGGGCCTTTTAATTAATGTTTCAATTGGCATTTCACCCGAGATTCACCCAGAAAAGCCAAAAGTAATTGGATTTCTCTGGACTCCTCCGGTAGAAAGTAATAGGCAAATCCTGTAACATGTCACACAGGCAAATGGCCATTCTTTAAGGAGCAAGTCGCTCATCAATTCTCTGACGGATAGACCCCAAAGTTTGTGTGGCATTAGGCGCGTGGTAGAGTAGATCAGCGTTTCTAAAACTTTATTCAGTCGCTGCGCCCTTTAAAAGTATGCAAAATCTCGGGGCACCCGCACCCCGGTCTACAATGTAAATGTAAAAAAACAATGTGTGGCCACTCCAAAATTCATACCAGACCCTTATCCCAGATAAGAAACCAGTGTGGATTTTAAGGGGGGACCCCACACAAAAAAGGGGGTCCCCCTTCACATCATAGTCCCCCTTTCAAATGAGAGTCCCCTTTTACATTACAGTGCCCTCCCCTCCCCCATTTACATCAGGTGCCCCCCTCTTACTTCTGAGTCTCCCCTTTACATCAGAACTACCCTTACACATCAGACC